GTGGATGGGTGAGTGGATGGGTCGGTGGATGGGTGGGTGAGTTGGTGGGTGGATGAGTGGGCAGATGGATGGGTGGGTGAATGGTAGGTGAGTGGGTGTATGGATGGATGGGTGGATGGATGGGTGGGGGTAGATGAGTGGGTGGATGAGTGGGTGGGTGATGGGTGAGCAGATGTGTGGCTGGGTGCATGGGTGGTGGGGTGGGTGGATGGGTGGTGGGGTGGGTAGATGGCTGGATGGGTGAGTGGGTGAGTGATGGGTGGGTGGATGAGTGGATGGGTGGATGGATACATATTTGTAAACCCTGCAGGTTTTGACACAAAAATCATGAAGAACTGTGGCAAGATTCATTTGAAGAGAACCAAGCTAGATCTCATGATGAACAAGCTGGTGGTCATGGTGAGCTGCCAACAAGTGACCCTGCCCCAGGAACACAGAGGAGGGGCCAGGACAGGGATGTCATCTTCCAGGCCCCAGCTTCCTTCTTCTGCAAAATGTGTGGCCTGATCCTGTGGGCAGGTCTTTCATTAAAATAATTTTTTGGCTGGGCGTGGTGGCTCATGCCTGTAATCCCAGCATTTTGGGAGGCCCAGGTGGGCCAATCACCTGAGGTCAGGAGTTCAAGACCAGCCTGGCCATCTTTAGTAGAGATGGTGAAACCCCATGTCTACTAAAAGTACAAAAATTAGCCGGGTGTGGTGGCGGGCACCTGTAATCCCAGCTACTTGGGAGGCTGAGGCAGGAGAATCGCTTAAACCCAGGAGGCTGAGGTTGCAGTGAGCCGGGATTGCCCCACTACATTTTAGCCTGGGTGACAAGAGTGAGATGTGTCTCAAATAATAATAATAGTAATTTTTTATAAAAGTTTTGTAAAATAAATATTTTTTTTAGCCTGGGCGCGATGGCTCATGCCTATAATTCCAGCATACTGGGAGGCTGAGGTGGGAGGATCACCTGAGGTCAGGAGTTCAAGACCAGCCTGGGCAACATGGTGAAACCCCATCTTTACTAAAAATATGAAAATTAGCCAGGTGTGGTGGCTGATGCCTGTAATCCAAGCTACTTGGGAGGCTGAGGCAAGAGAATTGCTTGAATCCAGGAGGGGGAGGCTGCAGGGAACTGAGATTGTGACACTGCATTCCAGTCTGGGCGACAGAGCAAGACTGTCTCAAAAAGCAAATACAAATAAAAAATAAATAAATGTTTTTCAGTCCACTGTATTGCCCAGGATGGAGTGCAGTGCCATCATTGCAGCTCACTGCAGCCTCCTGGGCTCAGGGGATCCTCTGGCCTCAGCCTCCTGAGCAGCTGAGACTACAGGTGTGCGCCATCATGCCTGACTAACCTATTTGTGAATTTTTTTGTTGAGATGAGGTCTCACTTTGTTGCCCAGGCTGGTCTTGAACTCCTGACCTCAAGTGATCTGCCTGCCTCAGCCTCCCGAAGGGCTGAGATTACAGGCATGAGCCACCGTGCCCAACCCTAGCCTTATCTTTGCATTCACCCAGTCCTGATGGCAGAGTGGAGGCCCCCACCCTCCCCCGCCCGTCTCCCCCTCCCCCGCCCGTCTCGCCCCTCCCCCGCCCGTCTCGCCCCTCCCCCGCCCGTCTCGCCCTCCCCCGCCCCGTCTCGCCCCTCCCCCGCCCGTCTCGCCC